CGAAGGCGCTTGCTCTGTGAAAATGTTGTCTTTCAGCTCAAGACAGTTCTGCTTGCTGGTGTGGAATTCGCACTTCGAATGATCCCCGCAAGTTGTTCAACCAAGCCCTGTTCCTCGCTCGCATTTTGTGAAGACCTGAATCATGGAGGGGCAGTCTCGAGCGCACTCGAGGTCTGCATCCAATCATTTCCAAGTCCTTCGTCCAGCTGTTGAGGTAGCTTACTCACGACCGCATAGTAGAGCACAGTGCGCCACGCCAAGCAATTCTGGTCATGACAGAGACTGACAGTGACTAACGAACTGTTTAGGACTGAATAGAACTAAACACGATGATTGCCCTACCATACATCTTAGCCTTGGTGGCATATTTACAATTAATTATGTCACATCAATACTAGCCACATGCCAACACGTCAGCAAACTGGCAAAACCCGAAGGTTAACACTTGTACGAATCATTGTGCGGTTAGACTTAACCATAGCCCAATCGTCACACAGCGCTGCCGGGGCGCTGCAGCAACCAGGGCTCAACCTTCCAATTAAGGCGGGGGGAGGAAATACAATCAACTATCCGAGAAGTCTGAAACTTTTCGATCATTGGAAATAGCAAAAGCGAAAGCGCCGCAATTTATGTATCACGCAGCAAAAGATTTGAACTGAGAACCGACACCCAACGCGCAAAAGATGAGGCTGAAGCGCACAAACGAAGCATAAAGATGACAGAAGAACTTGAAGAACTAGAAGAACTAAATAAATTGCCACCAATCATAACAAATAAATATCATACAAAATATGAATATTGGTAAGAATCCGGCTGACCCACAATGGATCCGAAAGTCCTCGGACCCCACCTGCAGATGTACTGGAACGGTTATATCTACCATGCCGGAATTTACCGGAAAATTGGGTTACGACATACTGAAACCCTAGGGTATAGGTGACGTAACCCTAAAATCGTCCCAGGGACGTGGTTAACCCCCTACCCTACCCTAACCCAGCCCTAACCCTAACCGCCGACCAGCCCCACCCGTCCCAGGGTAGTGGCGTACCTCCCGCCTACCCTAACCCACCCTAACCCCGTACCGGCCCCACCCAGTCCCAAGCAGGCCCTGACCCCGACCGGGAGACCGCCGGTACTACGGTACAATCATTTTACGCAAACCGGGACAGGATGCGGTGGCCTAGTGGTATAGTGCGCTAGCCTAAGGAGTCTAGGTACTAGGCTCGGAGTTGCGGGCTCGATTCCCGGTCGGAACATTGTACTGTGATTTTTGCCGCGACATCTAGTCGCAGACTGGTCGCCGCGGATTTCCGGGGATTTCCGGCATGGTAGACATGAGCGTCCCCCTATCCCCCTAGCGTCCCCCTATCCAAATCCAAGTAGCTCCAAAATTCCCCATCCGGATAACCAAGCGATAGTGAAAAAGGATCCGCGCGGTTATGATTTTGGATTTCAATCCTTGTCCCTAGAAGAACAAACCATCCAAGTAGCCAGAATGACAGCCAGGACAACCAAGCCGACTGGCTCCAGCTCAACAAACCATGCTAGTTCGGATGATGATGGTCCGGCAGATTCCTCTGCCAGTCCATCCAACCTCATTGGATTGTCCAGCCTAGTTGGCAGCATCCCAGCTGCTGCAGGTCCGGAGAGAACAGACCCTCTGGCTGTCCACCAACAATCAGAGAAGGCAGCTCGAGCAAGCTTGATATGTTTATGCTCGAGCATGCAGCAATGTCACATTGACAACCTTGGCCGGCCAAACAACCAAGACTAGCAATCTGCTGTGTAAGGACATTGACGAACATGCATTAAGCTTATGCGTCGACCGGCTCGCTGAGCCACACACTTGGCCAAGCCAAAGATTCCTTGTTATGGCCAATCTTTATCCTTGCCAGCTGGCCGGGACAGGAAGCCCTATGACAGAAAGCCCAAGACCATGAAAGGAGGAATAAACCTCCTTCCATTTACAAAATTTTACCACCTTGGCAGCCACCTCTCTCTTGAGCTTGACTTTGGAGCCCGCTCACAGCCCTTCTCAACAACTTGTCATCTCCCCATAGCGCCAACGAACAATGGCGGCTGGCGCAGCGCCAGAAAGCGTGATGGCATTGGCCGCCCAGGTCCCCAACGCGCAGAATGGATCTGCAGAGCAGGGCCACAATCAGCACCAGCGAGACCCGCCGCAGCAGAACAATGAGCAGCAGGGCGCCCAAGGCGCCAATGCAAAAGGTGGGCAATCCGAAATGCCATCTATTGCAGTCTCAGTGGGCCGCTTTTCCCCCAGTCCCTGTTCAAGTCATGAATGCGCCAGAAGACTCTTTGCAGCGGCCGTAGACGAGGCATTGGCAGAGGCAGAACGCCTCATTGATGCAGCAGAGCCAGAAATCTTAGGAATGGCATGCGAGACTAAGCCGGGAGACGAGTAATGCAATGTGCCCGCCAAAAATTCATCTCAGAAAATGCCAGAGCCGCCAGCAGAGCCGTCAGCCAAGTCGTCAAAATCAGTGGAATCATTAGAGACGTCCGAAGAGCTGTCGGAGACTTCAGTAGAGTCAGACAGCCCGTCAGAATCGCTCGTGGATCAGACGAGTCGTACTCCCCCTCTGAGCAGATAGACAGCGAGGACGAGAGCGAGGCCGAGAGCGAGCTTCCGAAGCCAACGTCAGAAGGCTCTGGTTCGGATAGCCAAAGCAATTTACCCCCTGGCCCCCCGTCAACAGAACACGAAGACGAGCCCCACGCGGGCCCAGAAACCTCAAAGGAGCTGGAGGAGCTCTTGCGCTTCTACCTCAATGCTCCCGAGTACGACCCCCGGAACCCCCGGATCGGAACCCCCCACGACCCCTTGCGCAACTGGAGCACGACCCACTTCATTAGGACCTTCTCCCGCATGCCCAATTTCTGGCAGGAGTACCCCATCGTACGTCCTGAGCAATCGGATTGGCCGCGTCTTGTGCGTCATCCAACGCCGAATTCCCCACGGGGACACGGACAAGAACGCCGGCAAGGTCGACCGCAAGATCATCGCCATCAACCCCAACTTCTACGTCATGACGGACAAGGCGTCTGCGGACCGCCTCATCGCCCTCATAGACAAGGCGGAGCGCCTGGAGCGGGAGTGGGAGGCCAACGGCGGCAAGCAGCACGCCCGCAGCAGCCGCAAGCGCCATAGGGACAGCGTCCTCAACTAGATCCAGGACAGCGTTGACACCGTCAAAGACGACATGACCAACGTGCGGGACGACATAGCCTACCTCAAGCGCTGCAACGCTGAGACTCAGGCCAGAGGCCGACCCGCCTCCAACAACATGGTGCGTCAGGTTCTTGTTGGCAACAGTTCAGAACAAACGATTACGTTCTGTTTGCCAACAGAAGAGTATGCCCAGACTCGGAAGGCCAAAGCTTCTCGACAACAACTTCTGGTTACGCCAAATAATCAGCTAGCAAGTCCAGCTAACGTAGAAAACGTCCCACAGGACAGCCTGTCAATTTCACGACTGCGGGCTGTGGGAACTGTTTCAGAAATTACGGACAATAAAGAGTATGAAGTTCACTGGACGTCCGTGCACAACTTGCCTGCAGCGTTTCTGGACAAGTTGGAGCTCAGGTTATCTGTTCTGGTCAACTCAAAATGGCTTTTGGAGCCAGAACTACTGGTTTCTACAAATTTGTCAAGCCAAACGCAGGCATTGAATGTACGATTGAATTTCAGAATGCCTGGCAGGCGGTTGCCCTTTGCATGAGGTTGTGTTTAGCGTCGCAATTCTTACAAGCCATGCACCGCGTCAGGTGTCTATAGACATTACACTTAGTGTGAAGTTAAACAGCTGCAGGCAGTCCGTCATAGGGTATACGCGCCCCTGTTAGCACTCTGTGACATGCCAGTCCAACAGGCCACGTCAGCATGGCAGCACCGCCGCTTGTCTAGACAATTTCTCAGTCCAGAATAGAGTCTGCGTCTAGACAAACTAAACTTTCTGGACTACACAGACATGGTGTCTGGTTTTCATCACGCCCCCCGGATTGACAATTCGGGGCCAAATCCAGCCTTCTTAATAAATGGTGTCGCTTTGGATTGGCTGACTGTTGACACTGGATGCGAACGTGTCACAGTTTCAAACTGGACAGCCAGGAAGCTAAGGATCAATTCGGACATGCGACATCGGCGAGCCATCAACTTAATTACAGCGGACGCCGTAACCGCTGCGCCCGCCCATTGACAAAACTTGGGACACAATCGAAATTTCAATAAACCCGAACACGTCTGCCGCAACAACAGTGCTGGTCAAACTTACAATTGTCCCGTCGCAGACAAGAGAAACTTTGACAGGAATGAGCGTCATTGGCGGGATTGGACTAACGATAAATCCATACATGCAGACCCTCACGTACTATCCGCGCTGGTGGGAAAAGGGATCCCCCAACGCAGAACTGCCATCCATCTTCCATATTGACTTGATCATGCAACAAATGTCTGTCCGCCGCAACTAGTTCCCGGCTTAACCAAGCAAGTTTTGCTTATGCAGCACGACTAGCGGCTTCAATCCGGCGCACTTGGACCATCACCGTGCGCCCCCGGATCATCATTCGCCGACTCTGCGCGCAGCACACCTCAGCCCCCGCCGTCGTTTGCACGGCTTTGTATAGGACCCGTAGTAGCGCCCCAGACGTCGCGAGAGGAGAGATACGTTCGGCTGCAGTTAGAATTTAGGGACTAGCTAGCCACGCAGAGTGCCAGTGTAATAGCTAGTTTTCAGCAGACTATCCGCAGCCTAACAGAGCCTCCGCCTCCGGCTGTACTTTTAGCTTCTTGATATGGATCCCCATTGGATTTGATCTAGGTATATGGACATCCACGAACAAACGGCTGTGATTAGTTCAGGTACAGCGGTGCCAGAACTTTGTTGAGGATTGTGCGCAACAACAAAAGCGCTCGTGCACAACGGTGTAAGATTTGCAGAGTATATGCATGCGGGATAGACGGCCTTAGCCGTGAAGTGGCGCAACAGAGGTTGGCCACTCTTGTCAATTTGTTCCCACATTTGATCACACCAGCAGCAATTGCAGCATGCCACGATACATTACCACATGACGTGTCACGGAACAGCATATAACTATGCTTGAACCAATCGACCTTGTAATAGCCGGATTTCCATGCCAAGGATTCTCATCCGCGGCCACCAAGCCACTTGGCTTGCGGGACTGGCACCCGCACTGCCTTGTTTTATACATGCACATAAAGAGTACGCGAGTAATATACCGGAATCATGGCCCATGCATATGGCTGCTCGAAAACGTTGACGCCACGGACCATCGCAACCCACAAGTCGCAAAAGAGTACAATCACGTAGTCAAAGGCATACTAGGCCCAGGAGTGGCCTTTGATGCAATCGCCGTAGGATCATATGCGCACCGCAATCGACGATTTCGCACCAACGGCATACCACTTGCCATATTGGACAACATGGTGCAACATGCATTTCAAAACCTACCTACTCAAACAGTATGCGACATAATTGAGAAACATCAAGCACAATTAGCTGCTCATGCATCGGTGCCAGGCAACTACGCAGTCAACGAAGTAGGCAAACTATTATGAGCTTTTGTTACATTCGTTACAGTTAAAGGTTCACATGCATACAGAGGTAATGGGCACAGCCTGCTCCTTAATACAGACACCGGAACCGTAGACGAACCCAATGCTAATGAAAGAGAAGCTGCTATGGGTTTCATGGTACGAACAACTGCACATGAAGCAGTTTCAGACGTAGAGCGCAAAAGAATGCTCGGAGGCACCATGGATGTGTTCAAATTAAGTTCCTAATAGGAGCTATCATGGTCTTTCAGCACGCCTTCTTCTTTAATTGACGGCACGCCGGAGTCACAGATAGCTAAAATACGAAATACTAGCATGACTCGCCTAGCAATCTTGAGCAACCTGCCTAACATTCAACTCATATCCCCTCAAGAATTGCATATTTTAGCAGTGCTCAATCACAGATCAATTATGTCTCACCCTGACTACCGCAGCAGAGTGCATAGCGAACGCTCCGGGTGGTATGTTCCCTATGCAAGGGGGGGGGGGAGACCAGATTCACTTTGCCAATTATTACCTGAATACAAAAACAAAATCGGAGGATCAAACAGGCACCACAGTTAGCTTAAACTAGACTAACTCAAACCTAGATAGCCTTGACCATCTCCTCAGCAGACAAGAAGCCAAACTTCATCTGAGACGCGCAAGAAAAGGCAATGAGCGCTCGCCCGGCGAACACGAGAATCAAAGACATGATTCCATGGATCAGCCAAAGAACGGCAGATCAGCCGGACATCCAAAACAGGACAGTGCAGGCCCGCAGCCAAGACGCGTTGCCAGCACCTCGGACCAGCCGAAGGAAGCCAGTAAGCAGACACATCCAACGACAGAACCTGCAAAAGACAAAGGTTTAACTATATACCCTGCAAAAACAGCATAACAAGAATGGAGCTGGCCTATGGGAGAAGATCGCTGACAGAGATACAACAGACACAACTAACTGAACTCCTAGAAAGCTTTAAAGATATCTTTGCTTTCAATATGCAAGAGATGACTACCATTCCTGGAGTGGAATTCAAAATTTCAGCCAGCAACGAGACGCCAATATTCAAACATCAGTACCGGTTAGCGGCACAGTCAAAAAAAGAAGACCCGGCGCAGCAAGTGGAAGAACGACTCAGGAATGGCCTCATCAGGACCATCAACTTCACAATGGGCCTCCCCCATTACTCTGCCACCAAAGAAGGACAAGAACGAAGATTGGACGCAACGCAGAGCTTGCGGAGGCTACCGTGGCCTTAATCGAGTAATTGTCACTGACCACTACCAGATACCAACACCAGATGAAATATTCGACGTCATATGTAACGGCGCTAGCTTTCCGAGCCCTCCGCGGGGAACCCCCGGTAGCTACGCGCGTGCGGGTCGCGCGGACTTGTGTCATTAACGCGCAGTGCGGCCGCGAGTCAAACCCCGAGCCTGTTCCGCCGTCGGATGGCCGGATCCGGTTGAATTCAAATTGGGCATACTGTCTGAGTCTATGCAAGTGCACGTACTGAAAGTCTGCTCCTCATAATATCATATACATGAGATTATGCATGCAACTCTCATGGGGGAGCAGG